GGAATGCAGCTGATTTATAGAATTTCCCCATAAATTATGCAAATTACATCCATATTTGCATAATTGTCACATAATTATATTAAGCATCACGTAAGCTACCTACATACCAAAAATCACGACGATCCGTCAACCGGTTCTTGAGTTATCCCCTTTTGAATATTTTCAAGAATTTATCCCTGCAGTTCCAGAGCAAGCCGCTAGGGGGCCTAAACTCACGTCACTTTTTTCCCAGCACAAGAGCTACCTACCATCTAAATTTCATCACCATAGCATGTCTAGATCATGAGATATCAAAACCGGAAGTTCAGCTGCAGTACCATAACAAGCCGCTAGGGGGTCCAAAATCTAATCATTTTGAGGTCTCATCAAGACCTACCCACCTACCAAGTATCAAGACAATCCATCCAGGCCTTCTCAAGTTATCGTGTTTACAGACAGACAGACAGACAGACACACACACACACACACACATACACGAACGCCCCTGAAAACATAACCTTCTTGGCGAAGGTAATGATTAAAATTAAATTTGATTGACAACTTTCAACAGCAAGGAAACCTTGCCCAGGGCAGAGGGTACAAGGATGGAAAAAAATTTCCTCCAAATGCCTAGTTTCCACCATTACGTGAACAAAATCAATATCTCCTAAACTGTGACAATATGCCTCTTAGTCCAAACAATGACATATTAGCTTTAATTGTGTGCAAAAGTAATAAGCACAGGTGCATTCCATCACTGTGGTGGGAATTGCCTTCCATGCAAGTGTGTTCTCCATTTGATAAGTCTAACGTTACTACCCAAGGTACCTCCCATGAAAAAAAAAAGTTACAACACAGTTCTCAACAAGTTTTGCAACTAAAAATAAGAAAATCTAACGTGTGTATAATGTTAACAAACATTTAGCATTCATAACGATCATGAAAATTTCAATTGTTTTACCCACATCAAGGTTTCAAGATCGCTGTAGTCTAGACCAAAAGAGAAGAACTCAGAGTGCTGTTGAATTCCATTAATATAGTAGTCTTAAATCTTGTGATATTTTATTGAACCCTTGAAACATTATTGGATTGGGGCAATAAAAACGGTTGGTAACAAGCTCTGCTGTTCAGCACTGCTAGCCCAGTTTCCGACCTATCCCTACAGTGCAGCTGTCAATGTTCCCAGGCAGGGATATGCATGTGTACTGTTTTTATCAGCTCTATCTTTGCAGCTGCATGAGATTTCTGCTAAGAAGTTGGATAACTTCAAGAGAAATTGAATCAAGAATTCCTGGTTCAGGACCCAGATCTTTCAAAGAATTGGCACTTGCCATTTTTTTTGTTTTAAAATACATCTATCATCAACAGTCATAAATTTCTTTCTTTAATCTTTAAATCTGTCAACAAACAGGCCATGGAAAATAATCATACCTTCCCACAGTGTGCTTTAGCCACTGTTTGAATCATTAAGCAAAGTACAAAATAATTTCTGGGAGAATTGCAAGGCAGTAATATCATGCCTCCCTGTTTGGTGGTCTCTTGATCATGTCCAAAATTAATCTTCATAAGCAACCACCCAGGGGAACAAAGGTGTACCATTGACATGATTCTTTTTTTTTTTTATGTAGCAAGGCATCAGCCAATCTATTTGACTGGTCAATCCAATCATAGGTACAAAAAAGATCTGGCTGCATTCTGGCATCAACAGAGATAATCATCTTGTTGGCCAATCCTCTTCTTGAACTCCCATGATGCAGGAGGAATAAGTCTATTCACTTTTATGAGTAAGTGCATGTAGGTATAAGCAAAGAATGCATACGAAATTATTTAGTCATCATTTCATCAACGGTTATTCTAGAAAAGAAGTTTTACAGGGACTGGCACTATGTCATTGCCTGACAGCTGAATTGCACATTAAACCAGTCAACTTGAAACACATTAAACATTTATGCAATATAAATCTAACATGGCTAAGTATGACATTTACAGACATTGTATAAAAATGTTAGTAACTTTGCCTTCCCGCTGTCCTCTGTGGTGTCATTTTGTGATAAATGTACCGTTGAGACTCTACAGACTCAAAATATAACATTGTAAAATCTTCATCAAGTTTGCCAAGCTTCCTTCTAAATCTAAGTGCAGAGCCGACTAACCTAGTTGCAGTACTGCACTTCATCACTAGGAGGCAGAGCCAACCTCCTTTCCTAGGGGTAGGGTTACATGTCACCTTTAATGCATATTCTTTTCTCGCAAAGACACATACTTAATGTGCATATCATAGAATGGGTTGCATTGATGTTGATTCACTGAGAGTTCTCTATATTCTGCTTACAGTACGTGTTGTACATTTGTTATACATCATGTTACATGTATATTGTACTTGGACTATGTTCAGTGTCATGTACTACACTGTATGATTTAGTATTTGCTGTATTTGGTTACATCATGTGAACACACACCACTCCCAGTGGACTAGCCCCCAGTGATTGCACAACTGTGTGGCCCAAGGGCTATTGAACCGGATATGCGAGCCGCCCTATGAACCACCTTGTGTGGGAAGGACTTTAACTTAAATGTGAACTATTGTTGATAATATTCTAGTAGTAGCCCAGATCACAGGGTATCAAGATATGTTAATCATGTGTGAAAGTTGTATGCTGAAACATGGGTGTCAGGATATAAAATACATTAGTATTCATTAAACAGTTTTCTTCTTCGGCTCTTTTATGGAACTTACCTGTGTCACTCACAACTTCCTCCTCATGCGCCACAACTGAGTCTATGTAGACAAACTCCACTTCTTCCTTTATCTCAACAGCTGGCCTCTCGATGGGTTCTACAATAACTGCCGGGGTGAACTGCTCCTGTGAACGGGTCAAATGATAACATTACAGTCAACTGTAACTTTTACTCACATGTTCAGAGCAACCTTTGGTGGTACAGAGCTCGGAACATTCAGAACTGGTAGTAAATGTGAAGCAATGATCCCACCACTAATATCAGTGCTGTGAGTTCTTTTCTTCCTTTCTGAATTTTATTGTATTGAAAAATAGCTGGTTGTAATGAGAGATTTATTAACACATTTTGTTAATTGTTATTTTGTACAACATAATTGATAACATTTTCATCGAGCATTTATAGAACATATTATTTTACACAGTCTTTTAGAGTTGATGTTATATGTACTATGTAAGACAAAGCATTTTATTTTCAAGTACAACACATCATGATATTGTTATGCTATCAAGAATGTGATTTACACTCACTATCACTAGTGTTTAAATAAACAAATTATCATGGGAATAGAGTGACAACATTGTCAACCATGTTGGGGAAATATGTTGCAATATGTTTTTGGGATGTGACAAATCCTTAAAATTAATTCTTTCTTAACCTTCTCCCTGCTGTGGTAGCCTTTTGACTCAAAACATGTTATATTTATGGTTAAGCTGAAGGGAGATGACTAACACGAAAACTTCAAAAATACATATCAACTGTAACATGTTACTAAATAATGCAGCATAACATATCAGACAAGACAGCAGGATAAGACACAGACAAGTCAGCAGCGTAAGACAGTAGTTAGAAGAAACTACGCTGATAGTGTCCTCTACTAGGCTTCTAAGTGTCATAGGCTCGAACATCCAACAAGAAGCCTAGTAAAACCTACTACCACAACAAAAGAAAATAAAAGCTATCGGCAACAAAAAAAAACAGGCATTGAACAACTGCATAGATACAGATGAAGAAGGCTTGCATCATGTTTAGGGACACTTCTAAGACTTCTGCTGTATCACCAGCCTCCGACAAGACGCTCTGCCATGTCTTCTTACTGCTTGAGGGAAGACAGAGCGTCGGCTACAATGTGCTACCCTGGAACTGTGAAGATCTGTGAAACAGGAGAGAGCAGAAAAAAAGCAGCGACAGTCGACTGAGTTGAAGTACTAGTCTTCTGCACTTCCCTTCCACCAAAATCCCTCTTGATGCTGTTAGCCATATTGGTGGCTATTTGCATTACACTCAAAGGTCAAAGTGTCTCTGTGTTTTATTGACAGGCTTTTAGATATTTGCCTGCTATTCCATTAATTTACTGTAGCTTGTTTTGAAAGATGTGGTACAGTTAGCACCTCAAAATGTTGGGGTGCACCTTGCCTTTGACATGAGGAGGCCCTCTTTAGGTTTCATTGCAAAATATAGAGGGGAGCAGAAGACCATTTGACTTTGCAAAATGAACATGAGTCAGAGGTGGCAGAGATAAAGTCATGCAAGTGCACATATACAGTCAATGATGTATCAAACTAATGATCTACATGATAGACACTTGTACATCAAAGAACATAATAATATGCTGCATCTAATATAATGGATCTACTAGACATTTGCTGAAAATATTTGATATGGGCTCCAATTATCCATCTGCAACCTGGAATATGCAGAACTTATGAGAAAGCAGGAAAACTACAATACAAACAGCTGACACTTTTAGGCTAATAGAATGCAGGCTCCGAGTATTGAAAACCCTATATTGTAGAGAACTGAATAAAGAGGACTTTTTGAGTTTGGTTGTTGTTGGCATAATGATCTATTGGTCCATGAATTACATTATGACACAGGCATACAGGTTTCCATACACATTAAATAAATAAATCACTCAGTTAACAACCTATTTTAAGTTGTCTGGTCATAAAAAAATATAGTTCAGCAATGAACATGCTTTGCAAATTGGCTGCCACGTTGATTGCAATGTCTATTCAAAAGTGTCAGTAATGTTATTGTTAACTATGACTGACGATGAAAATTGGTTATGTGAGGAAACAAGGTACAGTTTCAGAGACAGAATGCAGAAAAGAGGGAGAAGATCAGCTGATATTATCTCCATTCCCTCCCTCCCTCCATACCTCATGGTCCATGTTGTTGCTTGCGAAGTCGAATGTCAGCCCCTGCTTCTGCTGCACCAGTGTCATCCTTCTACAGCTAATGTACAACTGTCAAGGAAGTGGTCCCTGCAAGGGTAAACAAACACCATCAGGATAAAATAGGACAACATAACTTGAGCTGCACGTGTAGTCTATATGTTTTGATTAATTGTTTGCTCTAGTTACTCTTGACCGGCATTGAACCATGAATGCAAGTGACTAGGATATTACAGAACTTCACAGAACCAACATACCAAACAAAAAAGCTTGCTCATCATATAACCCAAGTGTAGGTAATTGCTGTACAAAAATTGAGGGGCTGATATCGATGAACAGATAATATAAAATAAATATAAAATACTAAACTTCATGGGCAAATAGGTAAAATATTCTGAAAAAATCGATGATGCAAATAGGCTGCTTCTGCTGTGCACTATTAATCACAGTTGTAGTGGAGAATTCCACAAGATAAGATCTGTAATGTTGAATAGCTTAGTCTGGTTCCAGTGTACACCACAGCAAAGGTATCATTTTATAGCATATCAGATATGTATACATATGTATTCAAGTCTTGTGAACAACAAGCTCTATTTAAAGACAACTCTTATATATGAGTGCGCCATTAAGTAGTAAAGAGTCACAATCACTTTCAATTGACACCTTCCTATTCAAAAGGTGTAAAAAGCATCCAAAATCCATGTGCTGCACTGAGATCTAAAATGCTTGCCATTGAAATGCCAGGTAAAAGCCTTTCAGACAAGAACATTTCTGCCAGGATAACCCATGAAAGGCAACAGACAAAGCCAAATATGGGACTACTTTTGACAAAGAAAAGCCATGAAGATACAAAAGGCTATACCATTCAAAGGTTTCAAACATTCTACTTTGTTTACAGTGCATTGCCCCACAACTTGGGGTATGCAGTATCAAGTTTTGCTAGCTCTTGACTGTTCCTTCCCTTGAACAGGTAGAAATTTATTCAGATACACGTGCAGATTTATCAACTGGCTCCATGGCCTATGTAAACTGACAAAATTATCAGTGCCAAACCTGAGTTATAGGTAAAGAAGCCTCAGGGTACTACCCAGATACATGTATGATATAGTGATCCCCAAAGTCAAGCCCTACAACAATACCTGCACTGCTAACCACACCTACTTGAATTGACATGTATTTCAATCTCAGGTAGAAAATAAAAACTCCTGAAATAGACGATAGTAGAACAGGTGAGTTCAAGTCACTTCCCAAGTTCAGCCCCTGTCGGTATGTGGTAGACAGGAAAGTAAACAACTCCAAATTCCCATTGTACACACCTATTTTCACCCCACCTTGATAAGGTATCAGGTGTCCACGCCAAGCACCCTTTACAGCAAACAATGGCATACATCAGTAGTAGAACAGAGTTTCTCCATGTACAAGATTACCTGTGGAAACTAGCACTGAACTAGACTTTCCCGTGACAGTTGGCTGCATGACGCTGTGAGGTCACAGTTAATGATTCCGAAAGCAGGACGACAGACAGGCAGACTTTGTGCCTGCGCAAACACCGCACCTGTTTTACCTTTGAACTCTGTTCAACAGCAAGCATCCAGCTCTTACATACAAACTATCCATAAATCACCTATGGGATATATGCATCTCCTTTTCACCATGTTGGACTGGTGTTGTCTTTTGCAGGTAATTATGCAGCAATACCTGCACGTACTGTAGGTCTTCTTGACGTCAGAAGACAACTGAAACAACAGCTACCTGCAAACATGCCCTTGGGGCAAAACTCTTGTTAACATAGTACATAAACACCTTGCATTTCAAGTATAGCGTGGCACTAATTTAGTTGCTCAACAGCTTCTAAACCCTCAGTGTTCAGCTATATATGCATAGTCAGCAAAGTTGTTCTTTGATTCTGACGGTATTTTGTACATATCTTTGACCTTGAGCTTGCGATAAGCATATGAAGGATAATTTTTCAGGAAGGAGTATAGTTAGGATAGCTTGCAAATGCTGTATGGGGCATTGTGAAAATTCTAATGGTAGAAAAGTTAATGCACTGTAAGAAATCAATTATTGCTAAAAAAAATATGATCTCTCTTAACATTTCCTTTTCAGGGACCCAATTCAAAGTCAATGTTAAGTATAGCATAATATGATTAGAAAGGCTGACCAGAGGGTTATCACTATAGTAGTATGTAAACATACCTGACAAAAGATAGTCTTTTGGTAACAGATAGGTGAATACCATCTCTATTGTCTCCCTTTGTTATACATTTTGTATACTACAAATGTATGCATTTAGTAACACACAGGGAAAGTTCTGTTTTTCAGTCCACTATATATCACTATCATTTCAGAAAAAAAAAGACAATAACAATTTTGATACACAATGCAGCCTAAAGAATTATGTTCGTTCGCAGAATAAAGAACAATCAATGCAATAAAATCAGCCCTTGCTGACATAGGAAACCTGACATGTCACATCACTTACAAGATAATAACCACATGTGAGACTTCTTCCTGCTAAAAGAGGGTCTGCATGCCCTTTTTCGTTAACCGTTATGGGCTATTTTAATTTACCGTTAATCGTTGCCGGCCCGCTCTAATTTAACGTTAAGCGTTATCAGTATATTCCTCGTGAAGCGTTATTGGTCGTTTTAATTCAACGTAAAACGTTATTTGTCATCCTAAATTCAGCGTTAAGCGTTAATGAATAATTCTTCTTTACGCCTAATTTTGCCTTTCAAAGTGCAGGAAAATGCGTCATTGAAGGTTCAAAATACAAAATTTCCCGGGGGAGAATGCCCCCGGACCCCCCTACATTGCTCGCGCCTTTGGCGCTCGACTCGCGCTTATGCGCTCGGTCCCTTCGGCTCTAGCCAGAACCAGCTTTCCTGTCAATTTCCGGAATTTTGCGGAGAGTTACAGATTTTTTTTAAAGAATCCGTCAACCTTGACAGGCAAATTAACAAAAATCTTGAGTAAAATATGAAAACATCAGAAGGACCGACAAACACTCTCAACACCATGATTTGCCTCTCAAAATGTGGGAAATTGCGTTTTTGAAGGCTTAAGACTCCTAAATTTCCCGGGGGAGCATTCCCCCGGACCCCTCTAGATTACGACGCTCCCCTCTCAAAATCCACTGGGCAGACTGAAAAAATGCAAGCTGGCCGACGTCGACTCGGACTCCCCTTTATTTGTGGACGCACTCGGGGACCAGGGCATGTGGGGAACACAGGGTACACATACCTTTAATGCGTGCTTCATTACATGTAAGATATAACTTGTTACGTAATTTTGTCAATGATCACCTTTTCTCACAAAGCGAGATACCAAATCCAGTGCAGCTCGAAAAAAAGTCTGTCAATTTACCGTTAAGCGTTGCCGACCGTCCTGAATTTACCGTTAAGCGTTATCGGCCCTGCTGAATTCACCGTTAACCGTTGCCAGGACCCCCCCATGCAGACCCTCCTAAAAACGTGATGCCAGCATCATGCCATGACAGTCGCTGACTGAGTCAGCAGTGTCTCAACTGAGTCAACAGACTTTGCAGTCTCTTTGCTACATCTGGTTTTAACAAGGAGCTAAAAATTTGATTTTTAAGCTCCTTGGTTTCACAAAGGAATATTTGAGATCTACGTAACTCACATGTTACTTGTAATTGTTGTATGCAATGCGTCGTATGAATTTGGGGACATGTCTTCTAGTTCTTCCCCACTTACTTGGAATTTAGTGGAAAGGGATTTAAATGGGGTTTTAAATCAGAACATTTAACAGAGCCCATAATCAACAACAAACAGAGCCTATAATCAACAACAACAACTATTGCCTACTTTCAATTAAGTCCTGTGAGCTGTTTGACATGTTTGTACAAATTCTACTTGTGTGTGCTCTTGTTCTGACATTGCAGGTCTAGTTTTGATGTGGGGGACATCATGTGGCAAGGATTATGAAAGAAAACATACAGACGAAAGTGACACTGTTGGTTTTGTGAGAGACACTATGCACAATTCCTGGGTGAAAACTGACAAATGCTGTAACCCTACCAGGGTAGTACCACCCCATAGTAAGAACAGACATGTGAAACTGGAAGTGGGAAGGAAATAGGAAACACAAACTGTGCCAGAAATACCCACTGCTATGGTAGTGGGAGATCCCATGTCACCCAGCAGGGACCTTATAACAATTATGTGTCAGTCCAATTTAATGGTTGTCACAGGCATGCTAATCTGGCTTCACTGGGTGTGAAACTATGGGGTGGGAGGGACTTGTGGGTTCAATAAATTGAATAATCAACTGGGGGAACTCCATAAATGGCACACTTGGGACATGGCTATTGTTTACTACATGCTAATACATTTGTAGATCACAAAAGGAACCACAATGGATTGTGGACACCCCAACAAAATAAACATGGGGAGGGAGGGGGGGCACACCATCACTATAATCTACAACTCTATGTAATATTTGTACTGTGAGATATAAATTCCTTTATATAGTTCTGCATTTACTTGGCAGAAGTTGGCACTTTGTTTGGCTTGTACATTGTGCTTGTAGTTAGACAGCTCACAATAAATTAACTATTGTAGATAGAGTGTAATTAATATTTTCACTGTGAAACTAAAGAAACCTTGTTCTGAAAATATTTCTGATTAAAAACTGAGAAAAACAGCAGCACTTGTGATACACTCCAGCCCAGTGTCTTCTTTTCTCACTGAATTAATGATCTTACTATGCTTGGTTGTTGATGCAAGCAGCAAACCCTTGTGGAGTGATTGACAAATGAAAACAAAAGTGGTATAATTTTGATGGGAAATTATTCCATCTGGATTTGAAGCAACATTGTAGTTTTCAGTGGAAACAAATCCAACATCGCCAAAACGAAATTGATGCTCAGAAATTAAATCAGCAGGCAGACAGCCTAGCTTGTTCTAGCTCAGGGGCCAAAGGTCACAGTGCCAAGCATGCATACAATGGAGTACGAAATGGTATGCTCACCTGGACAGGTAAACACAACGTGCCCCAAGGTCACGTACCAAAAGATGGCGTCTGTTTTCTTCTTTCTTTTCAAACTTGGATGGCTAAGATCTTTCAAATCAATACTATCATCAAACATTTGAGGACTAAGAGAAATATAGATACAATTCAGACACCTGTGCCAGTAATTGTACATAGAAACTTTGTACTTTGAGACCAGACAAGAAACAATTCTGTACAGTCTGGAAAATGTTTTAACAACAAGATCTGAATAATAATGACACTGACTAAGCATATGTAGAACAACTAACCCTTTTACAGCAATTGGTTAATCTTTTAAATAAAATCTGACTGTGTGGACATGTTTTTGGTGTTTGATTGAAGCCTGTTAAAAATGTACTTAGTACCTACTTTGCAGCATACAACTAAATTTCTGAAGGGTATGGGGAGGGGCATCATTAACCTTAAGATAACAGAAATTATTGGAGTCATTTCCTTGAACAGGGGATCATGTTACTGTACACAGACTTACCCTTACATGCCCAGAAGGCATAGGTCAGGGTTCTTGAAATGTTCATGACATGGAAGACTAAATTTTTCATCACCACCAAGCTTGTAACTGCATAATTTTCTACAAGTGAACACAACATTGTGGCGTGCAACAATCAATGATCAAGGACAACATCCGTGCCTTTGAGTGTTTTTATGGTCTGGTGTAAAACATTTAAAGCCACAAACATGTGTTGGACTTAAGGAGGGCATAGTGTTATTTAAAGATTCCGACATGTAAGAGCTACACGTATGTCATAGTGCCTCACCTGTCTTGTTAGAAATAACATAAATAATTCACTATCACAATAATCATGGATTCAGAAACAAACAGTGAATAGCTGCTAGAGGATACCCCTGGTTTATCTGTGAAAAATGAAACCTGTACAGTGCTAAATACGGGGCAATTTAACCAATGCAGAGATGCCGAACTGTATTGTATCATATCCAAAGTCTGACTGTATCTGTATCTGTACAGTATAGCCGGTATAACCACCCTTTGGCGTAACACACCAGCTTCGCAGGCACACGGCGTGGTCGCAGTTGGCTACATTACACAGAGCAACCTTTGCATATCTAACTGTAGTGATGATATCCCTGCTATACTAGTGACAATGAGTTCTACTCTAGTAGGATACTAGTAGTTCTACTTCTAGGGAAAAACTTGAAGACCACCTGTTGTAGGTGTAAAGAACTTTCTCAGGAATGTTTTCCCCTGTCTAGACCCCCTCCACCAAGCAGGAATGTAAAAAAATGTGATTACGTTCTTGACATTGTGATTTCCTGGACAAAGTACAGGCATATAATTTTTAACCGTAAAATAATTACATTCCATTACTCTTGTCCCAGTGGACTGTCTTGACTGATGAAAGTTCAGTCACAAAGTGCACAGCCTTCCCAAGCAGAGACGTTTGATTGACCTCACAACAGAACACCAGACCACTTACCTTGACAACAAATGTAGAACAGTCACTACAAACAATGATCTCCCATTTATCTTAAACATCGCAATAACCCATTTAACAACATGGTTCTTTCCATATCGGATGGCTGCCGTACAGGGCCACAAGTACAATTCAATAACCGTGAATCACGGTGATGTATTTGTGACGATGAGTCATCTTGAGCCCAGGGCTGTTCAGTGTAATGTTGAGGAACCCGCCAGACATGTTTTTTTTCCAACCCACGCTATAAAAGGTTATGTGTACAAAACTGAAAGCTTTGATTTTTGTGGGAGTAAAACAGGGAACAGTTCAAAACTTTCTGCCAACTGCTAGCCAATGTTCGGTGTTATTTCTACACATGATGATGTAATGCAGTGATATCAAGCTTGTCTGGTACAGATTGTGTTGATAATTTACAACAAAATTATACAGGGGTGTGTATGTAAACATCATGATCAAAGTATTCAGGCGGCAGCCAAGAAAGTTCGTACAGGTTGGCTTAAGCGGCGATCTAAAGTAGATATGAGGAACACGACTTCCCGGCATCTTCCTAGAATACGGGGTGTAAGCTGCACGCCCTTGTGGGGCTGGGGAGAAGTGTTTCCATGTTACAGCAACAGTACGCGGTAAGATGTCAGCACCACCTGATAGCACGTCGGCACGCCAAGTTTGTTAGGTCAGGGGAGGTCACCCAAGAGCACACGGAAAAGTGGCAAAAAATCGGCAAAACAGCAGCCTACAAACACATACCTTTCGATCGCTGAGGTCTCGACGTGTTGGCCGTAGAGTTTAGTTCTTGGTTACGCTCATACTAGACCTACAACTTTGGGAAATCCCCTCCCCCTTTTAGCTACAACTGGTCGATGGGTGAGTGTGACATGCAGATGGCGACGTCACGTAATTGGGTTGATTTCCGGCGCTGTGATTGGTCAGCTGCCGGCCATATGACCTGCACATGTAGCCAAACAATGGATACTTCCATATTTGGGAGGGGTGTGTTTTACCCGGGAAAACACCCTTTCGTTCTCGGAAGAGGGGCATTTTGGAGTTTCGGTAGATGGGGTAATAGTCTCTACCAGGCTTCGGAAGCGTCTGGAAAAGAGGATAAATTGGCCAAATAGACAGATAACATGGCCAGGAAGGCAGCAAATGCATCAGGCTCAATGTGTAACGTTACACCTTTATAGCGGACCAACTCCCCCGGCAAAAACTCGTGCCAAGTGAAAAGTTCAAGCGGACAGGGAAGACCTTCAATTCTAGAGCCCCAATAGAGAGCCCACTCCACCCACGATAGGACTTGATACCAGCTGTGTTAGAAGAAAGTTACGACTTACAACTACAAATGTACATGGATCAAAAGCGGCCTCTAGCAGCTCATGAAGTACTACAACGTAATGCTCGTTAGGCGGCTCCTATTACTGCAGTGATTTTTTCGCCGCAACGGGGCGCTTTTGATCCATGGCGATTTCAACACCAGGTGCCTCATACTGATGCTCTTAATACTGCAGTCATTTTTTGCCGCTTAAGGGCTATTCAAATCAATGGACAATTAATACTAGTACTATCGGCCACTTAAATAATTAACCTTGAATCAATACACAGCAACTTAACTTTTCAGTAGTTGATTTATTCCACATCATAAATGAATTATGACTGTCCAGCTTCCATAATTTACAGTAAACATTGGTGACCATTGCTATTGACATTGAGTGAAACAGTAACTGTTACATGTATTATGATGTTGACTTATGACTTTGAAGTGAATTGTTAAACTGTAGTCATTGCATGTTGCAAAGAATGGAACATGACTAATATCAAACTCTTAGAAACTAGCAAACTAAAACTTTGCATGCCTGACAAAGAGGAGGCAGCAAGAAGTAAAATTGTTCTGATTTTGAACATTAACTGCCTTTGTGGCAGTCTGATTTTCACCAGTAGTATGTGTTCTTCATATACACATATATGATAAAAGTTACTTAAGTTCATGACACAAAAGGAATTTAAGTTTCCACAATGTTTCCTGGATTAAGATTGCTTCTTCCTCTTGAGAAGTGAAATCTCTCAGTGCAATCTGAAACAAAAACATTTGACATGTTTAAGACATCATGTGATGCAACCATACCAATAATTACAAAACTTTAGAATACATACTGAATGGATTCTATTATGGAAAAAATGAACATAGTAAGTAATATGAGGTAAACTTCCTTAAAGAATCGATTGCATGAATCAGACCAAATCTATTACATTGCACATCACAAGTGCAGGCATGCCCATCACTGCCCCCTAGCAGTTAGGGTAAGTATGACAGGGAGGCGACATGGACACCCACCTGTTTGTCTCTGAAGGAGCGCTTCCCCTTCCCCCGGACCTGCCTTTTCTGCTTCATCATCATGAAGGCCTTGTTCTTCTGCTTTTCCTGTCAACCAAAAAACAAGAAGAAAATTTCATCACCAGAAATTCCTTTACTGTGTTCCTTTACCATAAGCTCATGGCTATCACTACACTACATTATATGTTGCTTTGTATATGGATATGCATATGTATTGTATGGAAATGCAGGTCATAATACCTTGTTTGTTGTGCCGGACCGCTGGTTCTTTTTGCGCTGCTTTTTGCTACCAAACTTTTCTCGTCCTTCCCGACCAGCCTGCAATAAAGAATCAAACATTGTGTCCTCAAACAGTTGTATGGAAACATATTATCTATTGTTCTAAAAGACCAATAACACATTGCAGGAATCTGTAGAAAAATGTCATAGTCACTCCAGAATATCTTTACATGTAATAGCCAAACACATTTGCACCACAAATTTGACTGTCAGATATACATAGGTTCAAAGCACCACACTGTAAGAAAATACAAAAAACATATGGAGACAGAACAACTCCCAATTTGGGGAATACTACCATATAAAAAATTGTCATACACATACAGTAGACAATGTTATGGATCAACAACCAAAATGACAGTTTAGAAGTACAGTTTTAGAAGTGCAGTTTTAGAAGTGCCTACTAACCTGGACAGTAGCCAGTCTTGATTCCTTGTCTGTCCTGGGCTTCTTGTGGATCCTCTCAATGTCTGACAGGGATGGCAACTCAGAACTGCAACAAGTATTGTACCAGTTTTTTTTTATTTTTTATTCTCACTGTATGACATGTACAAAGTGTAAGGTATAAGAAGAAAACACATGAAATGACAGGGAGGCAGGAAAAAAATTGTTAGGCTTACTTAAAGCCTTAATTCTTATTTCATCTGCCTTGACCAACAAGAAGCATTCAAGCCTTACCTTGTGTCTCTGTCTTCAATATGGACATGTTTTCTCTTCTTCCCCTTCCCTTTGGGAGCAGCTTTCTCCATCTCTTTGGAGATCTGGAACATGAGGATGACAATGAACACAATGGAACAGTCATAGGCAAGCATGTTTTGGAGGAAATTCTGAACTTCTTGCCCCTCTGAACTCTGAAACAGTATTTCTAGCGTTTTGAGAGGCAAATTAACCTTCAGTTGGTTTTACAGTTTTGTCTTTTTGTGAGTTTTGTGGCACAGTTGACAATTTGACTTAAAAAAGAACTTTTATCTGTCATATGTCAGGAGGCCAGAATGTTTGAAATTTTTGTCAGTCCTCAGAAGCAAAATTCCATCCATGGACATAGGGACAGACACAACAGAAAGTCACTTAATGACTGTTCCAGGGAACACAGTGTACCTGTTTTGCTCTGATGAGTTTGAGATCTTCTTGTGTCAGGATCCTACTCTGGCTGATGGCAGCGGCCTTTCTCTTGGCCATCTCTGGTGTCAACTTCTCACCCTCCTCTGTAGTGTCTTCTTCCTAAATACAACAAGAAGCCAAACATACCATCTGTTTACTTTTAGCCATGGCTACATAGCTTCTAAACAATGGTGTGTTACCAAGGGCACTGCATTATGGACTCCAATATATTCTTGATTCAAGATTTTATTATTCACATTTGGAGACCTTGATTCAAAGATCCTGGTCACTAATGGTTGGTTGAGAAGACATACCAGTAGTGTACCTCTAACTTGACTACACCACAGACAAAACAGCTATCTAATTAATTTCCCGTTGTACAGTGAAGTGGAAAATTAAGTAATTAAGGAGAACAATGAAGGTGCTAATGAAGCCAATGATCCTCTAAAATAGAGACCATGCTTCAATGAGTGTGTGTCTGTATAGGATAGAATTCAAGCGGCACAAATTCTGCCAATCTGTATCTCCCTCCCTACTGAATTGCACTGTATTTAATACAATACTTGGTGTAGATGCCACAATCATTATATTGGTAAGGAAAATATTTGATGTCCTATTTCCCCTTGTCATTGCACTGATATTGGCATTTGCTGCCATTGCTTAGCACATTTTCCTCATCAAAGCACCTGAAGCATTTTAAATACCTCAAAACATGCAGTCCCTTTATTTCTTTTGGTACCGCCCATAAATAGCAAGAACTAACCTATGGTACAAAACAAGCAACTATTTTCCATCAGTGAAATTGCTTTTTTGTCTCATCAAGAAGGTTTTTAACCTCCTTGGTCACACGTATATCATTTTATTTAGCTTTTCAGTATGGTATTGGATAGGATTGATTCAACTTACTACATTAAAGGAATGAATAGAAAATTGGCTTTGAAAATCTAGTTTTGTAGCAATGAAAATGCATTGGATGCCTTTAACGCCATAACCGAAGCTGTGCTGTTACTGTCTGGGTTATTACCCACCTGTTCTTCATCTGAGGAGTGCTGCACGTCCACCCATCCCTCACTGTCATCATCATCATCACTACAGCTGGCATCCTCCCACTCTTCATCTGTATCAAACAAAATCAGTTTGTTTTCATTACTTCAAAATCATTTTGTTTTCATCTGTATGATATCAGAGGTTAGTGTAGCCTGGGTGCTACAAATTCCATGATCATATGAAGTGGTGAAATATATGATATTCATGTTCTGCTTGAAATGGCAACACACTGTTATATGCCCACATCTACTGTATGTTTTACACGTTCTCCCATATAAAATGCAGGTAGTGAAAAAAGTGATTACTAATCTTACATATCATCAAATGAAAATCTGAATGTGCTCTTTTGTTGAGTTATAACACACTAAGGTCTTATACATGGGCATACCCATCCATAGCAATAATAACAACATCAGCATGCCACATGAATACACCCAATATACATGGCATCACATTTTCCACATCAGAGGACACGTCCATGGTTGAAAAAAAAGGGGCACCATCTCCCAAGAATACCCTGGGGACGTTGCAGCTATTAATCTTGCCAGAGAGCGTCTTTGCACTTCTGACAACAACCTGTCTGTGCCGAATGATTAACGTCTGCTTGTCACACAGTACAGTCTTATACCTGTCTACACCCCACACATGCACAATACATTACAGGGTGATGAATCAGACTTAAAGGCACCTCCGAAAGACAAAGGTTCCAACGCCATAAACGTACATGTATGAGAAGTTGTGAAAGACATCATACGCATTCTGTCAATTTGAAGATTATGAAGGAGTTATTGTGAAATGGCACAGAATACTGAGAATCTAGAGGACGAGAATTGATGGAGAGGCGGTGAGAGTACAGGCGGTAAAAGCATCCCTGGCAGCAATGATGATATTTTAGGTATGGAAACGATCTGAAGACTGCTGGGAAAGAAGTTATTACATAGGAATGTGGAGTACATTTTGTAGTCAAAGCCAGACAAGTTATTTGGAATCTGGAAAACATCCAAGAATACTTGGAGTGAAATACTGCATATGAGAGAAATCATTGTTATTTCGGCCATAGTCATAAATAAGTTTCTGCTTAGCCACAACCACGAGGACCAATATTACTCAACAGGAGCTACATGTACATCAAAATGAAATACATTGAACTACCGGTAGTAGGGAGAGCTAATCATAATTGCTGCTGCCCTAATGTTATTACAAACCTTTCAAATCTGCAATGATTTCATTGCTGATACGTACTTCATCAAGTTAGTGGTTATTCTGGAGAATATTGGATTTTCATCATTTACTCATTTGTGCCAACCCTGTTTTCACCATGGTGAATAGCAATTTTCTTTCCTCATATCGTTTTCTAGAAAGACTGCAGCTTTATTTGGCAAGATGCCACTCAGGTACTGCATCGTGTTAGAAAAATCTCAACAGCTCTGGGATAGGAGCCAAGAAACATTACAGCATACTCAGGCATACTGAACCGCATTACTAGTACTTTGTAGCAACTGTGTGGTAATTGCAGTTGCTGTCAAACTCAAAGTACAGTCCCAGGAAGTGTTGTCAAAAACTGAGACCAAAGAATAAATTTGTTAGTATATGATTCAAAATCAATTATTATTGAATTGTTGCCGTCATTGAATTATACTCAAAGTATGAATTTCAAATTCTACTGTAAAGCTAAGCACTCGCGTGGCTGCTATTGCATTAGCCTAACCAAGATGACTTCAGTGCAATTACACATAAAGCATTACGGAGACAATGATCTGTAACAAATTACCCAGAGTGACCAGCAGTGCCCACGTCAGCTAGTCACTACAATTGGACAGGTCACAACCCTTTATGGATTGCCCTTTCAACAAAGCAGTGATTGGGAAGTTTACTTGCAACGACAGTTGAAGCTACATTTAATTTCTGCAGCTAAATGCCAAACAATTAGAAAATATATATTTTGCAAAGCTTTGTGGTGATGACATATACATGTCTCTTCATGTGGAAGCAGTTGTAAGAAATGGGGCATTAACATTTAATGTCATTTACTTGCTGAAGCTTGGGTTGTTGTAAAATACAAAATGTACAGTCATGTAACAAGAATGATGATTTATATGCACAACTACATGAAATACCCCTCACTCCTGGACAGAGAGCAGTCTGTTGTTAGTTATGTTCATGCACAAAAAGATTCAATGCTACAATATTCTGTAGACTGTTTTCTCGACTCATGTCACATTTTACTTGGCTACATTAAAAGCTGTTTATTATGGGTTCACCACACCACGAAGTGGTGGTGAACCCATATTGCTTTTTCTGATGTTTCTTCTCCTTCTCCTTCTCCTTCTTCTTCTCCTGCCATTTTTTAAATGGATTCAGCTTCTTCATTTTAGGGCCTAAGGTCCTGAAATTTGGTATGGAGGTACAGTGGGCAAATACCCCTAGGCGTTTTTTAAATTTTTGTGATACAGGCTTTTAGAATGGTTTTATTTGAGTTTTTTGGCTGTGTTATATCAAATGTATTACTGTGTTAGTGTGCCGTGTTTACCATGAGTCATCACAATGGAATGCAGGGCATCAACCAATAGGCATGCAGCTTTCCTCTATACTTCTTGCTGATTGGCTGTTGGGATTTAACTTGATTAACACCTGCACAGTGCATTTCCATACTGACAGTATGTCTTTATTCAAGTGTTTTGGTAGGTATTTCAAGCTTTTCTGCTCCAGCATTGGAATGCGGGGCATGAACGTTTTTTTATTTATTTTGAAAATCAACAGTTTGCATTATGCAATTAAAAATCCTAACCAATAAAGTAGGGAATAGCTATCCAACTGTTGTTTTAGTTGTATGTTACTTCATATTATAGTTATATCAATGTAAATCATTGTTTTCCCTTGTGTTTCTCATTCTTTCCCTGCCATGTCGTAAAATGTGGTGAACCCATCGCTGTATTTGCTCCAAAGCAAATATTGGCCTTTCTAGTTACCTTATACCTTTGGACAGACATTTAATGAATCTAAATATATCACAGAAAGCTTAACATGCTGGCACAAATTAAAGCATTAAGCCAAGGTCATCTTTATAATCCCACCAGAAGCATGACTTGTCATGTCATGTCAGCGCTATGACTTTGGTATTCTATCTCCCCACACAGTTGGGTTTCAGAGACATCCATACAAGAATGACATAAGAATTTGACAGCATGCTGAGCATGCCTACTGGCAGGCCAAACAAGGCATTTCTCAATCAATGAACAGGCAGCAGCAGAAAAAGTCAATATTCCAAGGGGCACCTTTGAGGGAATCTCTAGTTTCTGTACGAGTGTGAGTTTAGCATAATCACCAGCACCAAAATCCTTAACCATTTGTCATAATTACTGATACCGGTATGATAAAATTTCCCCATAAAAGGTCTTAAAAAGAGGAATACTGAGAAACTACGACATTACTCTATCACGAAATTTTCACATCATGGATCAAAGCAAAATTTAAGCTTCATTAATGGCCGTGGGATTCACCAATTGCACCAGTGCTCGCTCCCCTTGCATGTTAAGAGACGATTCCGATGCTCCGCCCTACCAGTCTGTATTTCTCTCATTACCAGGCAACGGCAATGCTTCGCACGACCAATTAGCAGAGCCGCCAACCACAACCCAACGTCAACCAGGAAATGCATACCATTCCAAACAGCTCCGACCTATTTCTCACTATTCCTTGTCCACCCAAAAAGGTTAGCTACATATTAAACACCTCCAGTTTGTACAGAAATTTCAGTTTTGATAACCAGGTTTTTGCTGGTGCTGAAGCTAATTCCCTCTGCGCTATCCTAATCAATTATTAAGTGTGGGCAATTGCTACGGCTGCTGCAAAGGCCCAGTGGCTTTGAACAGTCGAGTTGGAACAAAGGAGACCAGCACAGATGTGGGACAACAGTGGATATGTGGGGTAGAATTCCTCCCTTTGCTGGGAACCTGGAGGTATGTTGTTTTTATTGATAAGCTTTGTTAGGAATCTGGTGTATTGTTGATATGCGAGTTTGTAAACCTGGCTTTTGCAAAGGCGGCTTGACCTCCCAGGGTGTGGGAGGATTACTGGTCATCTGCATTACACGACTGATACATCCGAGGCTGTCGTTATTTATGCTGTGTGTAAGTTAGGGTAGGCTCAGGCTACAGGGGGGTAATTACATTGCAGTGCAAGCCTGTCATGTACCTAATTCATTCTAAATCTTGCACAACATCTCAGCAATAACAGCAGTACAGGGAGGCTGTAGAGTGGTGGGAGGTTGGATAATGTTTATAGTGCATCCAGGCAACGTTTAGGCTGTCAATTTAAATTTGATGACGCCGGGAAGACCCTGTCAATGTGCATGCACAGCAAGCTGCATTCTGATCATGTACAGTTAGCCTATAACATCATGATGCTTTCAGGCTATAAAGTCCTTAGCTTACAGCTTATGATAGGTAAGTGTGTAGCAATGCAATAAGTATAGAATATCAAACAGATAATGGTAGGCATGTAGAAAGGTATGAATGTATGATAAATATACTGCATATATAATGTTACATGACATTGTATTGTAAATACACTACAATGATCGTTTAATTAAGGAATTAGTCATTTCTCCGTATATACACGTAATCCCCATTAGAGCTGTCTTACCTACATTTGCACTAGCCTACAAAAAAGACAAAGTAATACTATGTAAAAGCATGATGCAAAGAGGTATATCTCTCATATGATACCATAAAATTTTCTATTGCAGATAGGATACAAAACGATGTACCGGTATCACAGAAATGTGTGAATCAAAATGATATTTTATTTGTGAAGTGGGCAACATCCTGAATGTAACTACATGATATATCAATGCTGAGGGTAGATTCTTCCTAGACATTTTGTTGGTAACGTGCTTCTTTTATGCAAAATATTTGAGTGAATTTGTGACCTATTTTGTACCTATCGGTAATACACATTACTGTTAGTACTGCATATTAGCAAATGGTTAGGACTATGAAAAAAACTACACATCTATAGTCTTTTGATATTTGATCTCAACATGGACACCTCTCTAATTAAGAACATACTGCATTATCTCCTTAAATCTGTATGAATATAATGGGTCTAAATTACCCACAAGAATTCAACGTTATTGATTTTTCCCCACATTACCAAACATAAGACCTGTAATTTGCAGCAGGTCAGTCCTGGGGGGTGGCCTGCGATACTAAATCATACCACCGGTATAGAAATCCCATTACATCGCTCAAAACAGCATCACATTTAGAAATGGGTTCTCGAGAGACACAAAGCCCCTGTATGGCATTCTTCTCGCTAGGATGACAAATTGAATGATGGTGATTTGCATTTAGCAGTTCAAGCCCCCCGGTCTGGGTCTTCCCTTCTCTCCACTTATCCCCACTCATGTCAGAACACTGTCAGGTAGATTGTTGTCCGTACGTATGTAAGTCACCTCAGTGTCAAAAGAAAATTATGTAAACTCATTCAACTTGTATGTCGGTGAAGGTTAGACATCCAGGAAATAAGATATGCCAAAAACAGTTACTCCAGCAACTGGATATGATTTTGAAACAGTCAGATGTTTCAGGTAGCATCCACTATGGGGAAACCTTTTTGTCAGTGACATTGAACATTCAACTGGTAATTGGTAGTATTGCAACTGCATTGAAATAAAGGTTCACTGTATGTTGGGACAGGAAAATGTGGATTTACAGTTTTGTGCTAGGAGAGAGAACTGTCGGTACAATTTTGGGGTCGTGTCAACATCATCATCATCAGTCATGTTCCCTCATCCTTGTTAAAAGAATTTTGTTGTAGATCTTAGCAGATATGGACATAAGGGACATCCCTTAGTTTATAGTTGGTCATGAGGATGAGATCCCCACTTCTTTGGTAGGAGAACAACGTTAACAATTTATGCAAATTTGTATTTTTTTCTCAAGGCAATACAGTTTTTTTAAACTGTCAAAGCAATATATGACTGATTGTATTGAACCTCAGCCTACTACGAGTGGCAAAGTCCTATTGTACCATGTGAAGTAATTATGCATCCATGGATACAGGGACAAACAACAAGACCCATACAAGTATGATTATGTCTGTAATGTACTGCAGTGTATGGTCAGATGGGTGGGTCTTTTATTCTAAGAATAAGAAGAGAAAAATCATTGATGAAGGTGAAGGCAATATGAAGCCAGACACACAATCCTGTAATTTCTTTTTGAAGTAACGTTATACCTAAAACTGAAAGTTATTTTTTAATACAGCAGAAGTCTATTTTTTCCACTTGTTTCATCTAACATTTAATTTTGAACAGATCCTACACTGTAGCATCCAACATGGGATTTGGACTTACGAAAATTGTAGTTACACGTACTACAAAACTGTAGCATCAACGCTAATGAAACTGAACAAAAATAAATATGCTATGATGCAGCAACATTCACTTAAGTCTGTGCTTTCATTACATGTAGGTGTGTTTGAAAATGACAAGGAACGATAAACTTTACCATATTTTATTACCTCGAACACCTTTTCCTGTCTGACTTTATATATTTTACAGCTTGTCCCTCCCCAGCTTTTGACAATGGAACAGTCGGAGGTATCTGCTGTGTTCTGCAGCCCCCTTATCTGATAGTTCCACCATTTCCATCATCAAGCCTATAAGGGAACTCTCACCACCATAAATATCTGCAAAATATCCATCTTCCCCCCATACAGCGGCAACTCCCTGATGATATAACATTGTAAATCCCACCACTTTATGCCGTTCTGACAACACTTGCCAGAAAAGAGGATACGCAATTGTCTCCATCGCAGTAATCTAGCATTCCCACTGGAGAGGTGGTAAATGCTTCTATGTCAGAGAATAACTGTTCTCCGACCCCCACGAGAGAACCCTGGGGCATCGTTACGTCAAGTATCAGGATGAACCACATCCAGCCTTTCAGCACCATAGATGGATCAAACACACATTTGTATGCAAACTGTATTGCCCCTCTGTTTATCACCGTCGCACAGGCAACGTTCTTCCTTCAAACCTGTTCCTATACCTCTAGCTATATTCATAAACTGGGTATGATATGGATATATATCACCGCAGAGCCTCATGGCATGCGAATGTTACATTGTTACTTTCCTCACCAATTATTTCAACATGACATTAGACTGTCAGAGCTGCAAATTATGGATGAAGGATTGCATACTGGGGAGTATAATTCTAGGAATTCAAGATCAGTCTGTAGCAGCATACTGTGGGGGGTCTTTGCAATTGGAATAAAACAGAGCAGGATAGAGCATTATAGCTACACTGATATGTGGTATGGTCTACTTTCTCCCTCTCTTTGCTGTCATTTTGAAAACCCTACATTTACTTACTGTTACTTTACTAAATCTTACCCACAATTAAGTTAAGCTCATTTACTAATGACATTAGTTGGGCATGAAGTAATTCTCAGAGCAGTGTTTACTTAATATAATATAATGGCATCAAAATCTGACTAAAAGCAGTAAAATAGCAGTTAATGTCAGTGTTTCCAACTGAATATACATAGAGAAGTTTGAATAAACAGACTCTTGTTACTTAACCAAGTGTTTTATTCATCCAATGTTTCGGTGATCGTCTGTCACCTTCCTCAGGGCAGTTCTGACCGGTTCTCATTGCACAGCACCCTGGTGAAACTACATGTATTCCCACACATAATGAAGACCCTGAAACTGTTCTTCTTATCTCTTCTAGCAGCAAGAGGCTATCCCATGAGAAGAAGGATCCCCGTGCCCAACTGGCAGGTTTCCTGACTCTGCCTGCAGATAACACGGACTCTGAAAAATAATGATGACTTCTGACCCTGGTGTCACGTACTATGAAGTCTCGGGACTCGTCATTAAACCCCCCGGAATCGCAGCGCTGAGTCTGATCGGCGCTGGGGCCGTTGGCGTGTTCCTCTTCATTGCAGTCTTCATGTACATGTTTTTGAAAGAACAGAGAACTGTATCTTCCAGGGTCAACACGCCAGCCCCACTGGCCACCATATCTGGAGGGCGAATACACGAGAGGCTCCGAGAAGAGACAACAGACAGTTTTGATGGAGCGGAACTTGTATCACTGTCACCATCTGAGGTCAGGCTAGGCTTTCACTGCTATATATTGTCACTTGTCTCAACTCAGAGTTATTTCAAAAATATCTAAAGCCATGGAGAACTTAAGGTAACTTTTAGCATGATAATTTATATTTCAACCAACTTTCTGGCTCATTGCAAAACTGACCTGGATAGCAGTAATTTCTTCGTCTTGCATCTTGCTCCATACTTATCTCTCAAGGTTCTGATAATGTTGAATTGCTAGCTGTATTAAAAGGAATTCTGTACTTACAAACTCTTAGACTAGTGACAAAAATAATGGCTTGCTTATAGCTAGAGTTTAATGAAATAATTAATTACGTAAACCTTGATCTTCTGATGCACACAATATGTACAGTATTTAGGCCTTTGCCAATGAAATCAAAAGAACTGTAAGGCTATATCGATGTTAGCAATGTCGTTCTGCATGCCTATTACACATATAAAAAGCTACACCTATATACATATATATATATTTGTGTGTTACTGAGGTAATAGAAAAGAATGTGCATGCAGTTTGTGTGCAAACTGACAGGGGGCAACCTTGCTTGGTTTCTGCTTGCTAGAATGAAGCTGAAAAAAAATCTTATTTGGAAAGGTAGAAAGGGTACAGCTGCTGCAGTTTACATTTGACTTGACAGGTGGCATTTTTAACCTGCACCGAAACTTTTTGGCAGTACTGCCATCACTTGATAGGGGATGTCCTTGGTGCTGAAAATCAATGTTGTTAGGCCTTTGCCAAGTAAGATTCTGTCCTAGGCCAGGCCTATGATTCAATTCAGTTTATATGCTTTTCTTATGCTTCTACATAGGACTATTTACTTGATTTATTTGTTATACCACCACAAAATTTTGATGGAGCAATAGATGTTGGTAGATGGATTAGATGCTAATGGAAACCTGTCAACCACTGTTTCTCCTACTTTCTCCAAACACTATATGAACTGGGATTGGCTCAATTATCAGGGTTTTACATCTCAACAATACAAAAAAGAACTATAAGATAGTAAAAAGTGACTTTGCTTCAGGTACATGAAAATTAAATATCCCAGCTAAGTGGGCATTCAATATTGTAAAAGAATACAACTTTGTCAGTCCACAAGTACCCTTTAATTCTATGCACGATAGGTACCCCCCTTTCACAATACAAACTTGTACAGGATAACGTCATAGTTCTTTGCATGAACGTGACTTGTGTGTATTAATGTTATCTATCACTTTTTGTAGGCCAGTCAACTCTATATACTAATCTGATTTTTACTCCCAAAGTTCTGAAAGTGTTCATGCTCCTATATATTCTTTCAACAAGACATAATGGAGTGTCTCAGAGTGCTGTTACAGCACCAAAATAATCCTCTGGAGTTCACGAAGAAGAATATTATAACCCTTTTTACATTTGGCATTCTGTGACCTTCAAACAAAAGTTGCTATTAGCCATTATATGCAGAGTCCAGGCCTTTAGTAATCCATTATGATAAAAGCCTGATGGAATGTACTGTTGGTGTGCTCTAAAACTAATGCACTACACTGTATCAATGACCTTAGATCATGACCTTGCCATGGAGTTGGCACGAAGGTTTGGTATGTATGACCAAGTTTACTGTCGATTCACCTCATGGTCATGCAGCTTGTTCCATCCCACCACTACCGACCTAGCTTAGAGCACACACTCTAAACACTATGCTGAATTATTGGAGGGGTAAAGTTGCATGCTTGCCTGTAAATCATGCTGATCATATGCTGAATATGCTGAATCCACAATTGGTAATATGCTGAATCCACAATATGCTGCCACAGTAGTTGAAAACTCAGAGGAAAAGTACAAGACTTGGCACACATGCCAGGATTCCAAAGTAAAGAGAAACCTGTCCCATTCCTAAATTCTAACATAAAAAACTACAAACCATAGTACGCACATACTGATTCTATCAAACGTTTTACTCATTGGTTGCCTGAATCTACTTTTCTCTAGGTTTGCTACTATTTCTACTCCATGAACATGAAAGAATTGAGCCAAAAGTTTCAGCTAAATCTTCATCATTCCCATAGGTCATAAAGTAACATGCATTCAACATGCATGTTCAATAAAAAAAAGTAATAATGTAAGTAAGTGTTATATCTAATGCCTGACCAATTCAAACTGCTAGCATGACTAACTACATGACATGTGCATGTACATGCTTCAAGATGAATTTGCATTAATATGAGAGTACTACGTAAATACCACATGCCTGTCTAAATCTGCTGCAAAGCCTCATTAATATACATCATCCATCAAGTTCAACACAGATTACTTCCAGAAAAACTGCATCCATTCTGATCACTATTACACTCTCCACAAACAACTGAGCATGATTTGTATGCTGCCAGAGCATCCAGCGTGCCATACTGGTACTCCATCATCCATCCATCTCCACTAATGTACTGACAAACATATTAGCTTCTGTGCACCGCCACTTCTAATCACGAAAATAACTCTGTCTTTTTCAGAACAACCTGGTGAGAGCAGAGACAACCCACACTATCGTGGCAGAGTGAGGAAGATGCCCTGACAGAAAATATGGACAACCAAATATCAGTGCAATACTTGGCAATCTTTTCTACACTTATTGTCTCTTGTAGACTATGAGACACATACTATGGGAGTATATTGCTGCAATATTGAAACATGGTAGTTGGTAAAAGGAGGAATGTGATTTTGTTCAGTTTCCTTCTATGATATCTTTCGAGAAAGACTTTGAAATAGTTACAAAATTGAGAGAAGAGAATTCAAGGTTGTTGTGTTATGTTGCAAATTCTTCCAAATATGTACATATCACATACTTCTACCTATTCAATATTCTATAGAAAATAAACTTGTTCAAGTTATGCATCCACTGTTAATATGAAAAATGACAACATAGCCTTAAAATTGAAATTAAAAGCAAAATTTCTTGCGCAACATTAGGCAAATAATTATACAAATAAAGCAATGAACAGTATATCTATAACATGTATAACAGAAGCTACATTGACTTCTTTCACAATAATGTACCACAATATAAAGTTACCCAATAGGGTATCATTTCACTATGCATGGTACTTAAGATCAGTCTAGTTTGTTGCAGTGACCAGTTTTGTACATATCTACTCCCAGCTATCAAAGTGAGAAGTCAGCACTAAAACATACTGTTCCATGATATCAATATGCTGGCAAGCACTAAGAGCACACATCAAACCCTCCAGAAATGTTCTGTGAAGTTCCGCTGCATAGATCTTAAAAGTTTGTATTTGGACCAATTTCTCACCATGACATTTGGTGTACTGTGAAGGTACTTTGGACACATATCACACAATGACCCTTGTGATCTATCATACGGCAACAAGATGCTCTTCAAAACTTTTTTCAAAACATATTTCTGACTTTTCTAATAACCAACCAAATTGTTTGAGTTGATACGTGAGTTTCGCAGGTAATGTGAACTATGCAACATACAATCATGTACAAAGTTCCAAGTTCTGTTTCTTGAGGATTATTGTCATCAAGATGTTTCTTTCAATCACACTAATGCTGTTCTCAAAGGCAATATCATAGTAAATATATGATAAAATGATGTTCTTTATTGTGTATGCTGTCAGTTAAACAATTATACATGTATGTATGTCAGAGTCTATACAGATTGTTATGTAAAATATTTATACACTATCGAAGACTACATGATTCAGTGCAATATTTTGCATGTTTTTTGTAAATCTTTGGTTTTACTTACTGAGTCTTTGTTCTTGTTTATAAGTAAAGGTAATGTCCAAAGCACTATATTATATGACGTGTTGTTATTTTGTCTTTTGATATTGTGTGATTGAATTATTTACATATCATGGACGGAAGGAAACATGTTCTATTCAATTGATCAAATCAATGCATGAACTAAGCCAACCTGTATGGCTAATAAAAACTGTAATTCTGAGTAAGCAATAAAGAGATTTAATTGATCACTTTGTTTGTTGCTCAATGTGTATGAATAACATACAAAAGAGGTAAAGACAGATGATCAGACTGAATAATGTTGACATGAATAAAGAAAATTCATCATCTTGCAAGGAAATTTCATTAGCGGAATGTAAACAAGCTATCGAGATTTGTGGTTTGTTACATGACATTCTACAGTCTATGTTTTAATCAACTTAGAACAGAATTGAACATTACTTCAGTTTGTTTGATGGAGCACTAAACAACATCCAAAGTAATTTGTGCACTAAGCTGCACTCAAATGAGATCAAACAAAGTTCAATTTTCTAAAATTTATTCCTGGCCTTCCAGATAGGGAAGAACAATGCAGACAGAGTACAAAAGATTTAGAAGACTTTTAGTTCAAAGGTCCAAAAATCAAATTAGCCGTCAGCATTACCTGCAGTATCAAAAGGATTTGGAGGGGCAACCACATACATTGTACTCTACTTGAAATGGCCTCAGCAAAGTTCAAAAGTCCATTGATTGTGACACTGACAAAGTAAGAGAGGCTGCTGCCAGCCCCTGTACATGTTGGTTATGTATAGCCACTTTGCCTTGACCAGACCAGGTGAAAAAAGGTCCTGCCCTTTGACTTCTCAAAGGTGTTGACAGAAACAAGCGCAACATTTTGATTTCAAGGTTCAACCACCTCAGGCTGAAGTGTGACATATCGTGGAAAGGTAGAGAGTGATTTATTAAAGAAAGCAACTGTGGGTCACGGGTATGTCAAGGGTAAACTGCAGGGGCAATTTGATTTCAAGTGGCTCTCTGGTACTCAAGTCAACTAAAGGTTTGATGTAAAACATCGCGTATGAACAGTTCATGTTTTCAAATGGAAAGTCCGACCCAGAATCAGAGACATCCATGGATTATGTGGTTGTCAGCATGTCAAGAAACATAACAAGGTTACATGTCAAAAGTAAAAATCTAGAACAAAAAAGGTGCAGCTCTCAATCATATCTGCATCCCTGACCTATAAAAATCTCAAGAGGAACAAAACATATTTCCTGTTTACTTTAAAAGTACATTTAATTTACCTACTACATTAAAGGAATAGGAGTTTGATACATGTACCATCCTTGCAAGTTTTCTGTATGAACCAGGTCTTAAATACAGCAGCGGCCAAACTGTTTAGCCTGGTACCAACCATGATGCACGCTTGACAAACTCTGACTGTAGGAGATGTTCCAAAGCATGGGTATGTGATTACATGCTTAACAAAGAAAACAAATAGAGCCTGGGCTAGTTCAATTTTCAAGCTCAGTGGGCCGTCTATAATCACTGCAACAACACACAAACACCTCACAACTCACCTGTGAGTCTGGCATTCATGCGATCCAGGACACAAAAGCACACGTGATTAAAAAGTCACAAAACTTCAGAAGAGCTTGAAATAAATTGAACAATCACAAGTAACTTACTATAATGGAATTTAGCACACCATGCGTACCAAGTGGAGGCAATCTTAACTTGAAGTGGACGGCATTCTTCCTTCAGAAAATGCATGACTTGACTTCTTTACTAAGTAAGATTAAGGACTGTAATCTGTAAAGTCGTATTAAACCCAAAATTTATCCTCCTGCTTTCTCAACTGCAATGGAAATGAAACTAACTTCCAATCTATGAGCACACATTGGGCTGGTACTTAAACAGTGTGATGGTAACAATGTAGTGTCATACATAGAGTACTACAGGTCATATAATTTATCTTACCAGTAAAGTGATTTTTTTATTGCTACTTCCTGCAGAATAGATCCACAATAGGCCTTCAAAGTCAAGAATGGGCATGTGGCCAACATGAACTACCAGATTAATCTTTGTTAGTGAAGAAAAGCCATGAAGAAAAACAACTATGGAAGAAACATGCATGTCTTCTTGGCTATTGTTTTAGACTGACAATGATCTATGTCAGGTTGTTCTTATGTTTTTGATAATGTTGCATTCATTGCTGATTTTCACATTATTTAACGATCTGTCCATGGTACTGAAACATCAGCAGCTGTTACTGAATACTACCAGTGAGACGTCACGGCATGTGTTTTGTTAAGTACTGTTGTCTGCTAACAGATCAAAACTTGCCACAAACTTTATGTTGTGCAAGGGAAAATATCATCAGACTGATTGCAGCAAATTATCACGTTATGCAGACATACTTCATTACCAGTTTCCTCTTCCGAAAAAGCAGAAGAGCCATATTCACGATACTGTCATTTTACGTACCTTCCTTTGCTATCAAAACATTCCCATAAACCTAGATTCAAGTTTCCAACAAAATACTACTCAGTCGCCAAACATGGATTTAGAGACTGCAATCATTCACCTAACATTTATAACTCTTCCACGGTATAGCAGAAAAGTCGTCTTTTGATCACTTACTGATCCCATGTTATGGCATGGTCTGAAACGACGGCGATGAATCATGTATAGGCAAAGAGGCTTACGTCGAGTAATCCTCAGTATGTGATTGAATCATAATCAACTTTCTTACCTTCACTTGCCCTTGGGATTCCAACTAAGAAAATGGCTGGCACAATCTCAGCAAAACTACCGGTACCTTTCAAAAGCACACGACTGACAGAATGACGTTCTAGCTTACAGCAACTAGGGTATTAAGCTAGGTGATGCCAGGAAAATATACATTATTACCTCTTTGGCTTCATTGGTATTACTGTCCTGACAGTTACTGATAGGAGAGATAGTTTCCCACAACATGTTGGACACTGTTGATTTTTTAAGTACGCCTTTCAGAGCAAAAAGTGAGGAGGAAAGAGAGTTAAAGCCTGAACACAAACATGCTGTTGACTGTAAAAGTGACTCAAAAGTCATCTCTAAATCCAGGGAACAAGTGTGTCATTCAAACAAACTGCTAATCAAACTCCATTGAGCAGTAGACAGACACCATTTCACTATCACAGGAAATGCCACTCAAACTTTAACTTTATGAGCATAATTTTCTACACTACACTAATCAACTCTAAAGTTCTTGTGTTAGTTTCCGACAAGTTGTAATGCCTCATCCATGTAAATTTATTGGATGCAACTGGAAAAAAAGTAAACACTAATCACCTGTAATACTGTTTGACGTCAATGTAGGTAGATGTGACAAGTGTGAGCACACTACTCTAACATATCCCTGCATCTGCAGCATTTTATAGGATTACATTCAGCAGTAAAAAATAACTCACTACTGATGTAATTGCCAATAGCAGCTATGTTTCAGACTCAGTCAATAATTCAATAGCTGTGAGAATAAACTTGAATAATTGCTAGTGTTAAATTTTCTCAGACAAGCAAGAAGTCATGAGTCTTGTTGAGTTTATCCCAGCTACAAAGTAAAGAAAGGTCTATTACCGTATACATGGAATAATCTTAGCCACATCAACTACTGTAATTCACTTAATGTTCATGGTAGCAAAAGTTTGCAGTCGGAGAAAAATAGAGGTGTCCACGGAACTCATGGTGCTGGCAGGTGCAGAAAAAGGAAAGTTAGCAAATTATTTGTTCACGGTAATAATAAGTAAGCGGGACGGAAGTGACCACAAAAACCGCGAACATAAAAGTACCACAAAAATATCAGTAATTACAGTATGGAGAGGAACTCATCCAAGTGCATGATTAATATGACTACCTTCACCTTCTTGTTGTGGCTGCTCTTCTGGAAGCACTTCTGCCCCCGGCACATAGTCTTTTGCATCCACTTCCCCATACTGGAGAGCCTTCACCTCAGCGCTGGCCTCTGTGGGCTTGCCCTGTTCATGACAAAGTACAATCTGCATTGGCCTGAGATAACCTGTATCTGGTATGCATATGTTTCTTCAGAATGAGCTGGGACTGCATGCAGGTAAGGGTCAGTGGATAGTGAAATATCAACATTACCTATATCAAGATTGCTTTTCCCTCTGAGGATTGTGGTCCTTGTTTCAAAGGATGTTTGGTTAAAGTTTAATCAGAGAACAACATTCATTCAAAAGCTTTACATTATGCATATGCACTCAACTCCATGTTCTTTTTGCTCAAAATGTGTAAAATAGTACAAAATAATACATGTTGTACACATATTATGAATATTATTGGAAAGATTACATAAATATTCTCAACTATCCTTATCAGTGGAAGCATTCTTGACTCCAGACTGTCTGCTATGCACAATGTTTAATGCTAACGACGCCCTATCTCTGTCGCCCAGACAGCATCGTCTTAGTCCTGGTATTAAATCTGACATTGTCTTACGTATGCCACAGTTTGTGAATAGATGCATCTTTCATATATGACATTCTGTATGCCTCTGTCTTGTCTACTTTCAAACTCATGTCTGAAGATTAAAGAAGACACAAGGCTAGATGGTAGACAAATAGTCTAGCAAGTAGACATAGCCTTCTTAGGTAAATGAAAGTTCATCTGTGATGGTGATTGATATCATAAAGATTTTCTACACTACTTCCATACACAAACTGACAAAGCAAAAGTAAAGTGCTTACCAACAAGTTTTTGATCATGTTTAAACTTTTAAGTTAAAACTTTTGATCCAATACAGGGGATATGTTCACACCTAGGGCTTTTGACCATTCTGGTCTTCAATGTTGTCGTCACACTTCTGAATCAGAGACACCATGTGACAAGTCTTAATGGGTCAGTCTACTGAGGGAAGATCAGACTGAATGGTCGAAAGTTCTAGGTGGAAATTACAGTTTAAACCTCCTATATAAAGTTGCACTCACCCTGTCCTTCTTGTGCAGCAGTGCAGGGTTGACTTGTCGGTAAAGCTGGATCAGGGAGCGTGCAGCCATCAACACATCTAGGTAAAGGAGAAAGAAATAACACATACATGTAGATTTGTAAGTTCCTAAATAAGGTCTATATGATGTCAAATACACATAGTACTGGAAGGCAGAGCAATCCCTACTTTTCTAACCAGGACACTTTGTTTGGCCCCAAACTGCTAGGAATCAAACCCATGTCCTCTGTCCACTTGTTGATTAGAGTAACTGGCCTCCATGCCAAGAGAAGGGTTCAGAGTTCATGCTCTAATTAAATGATTTGAGGTCTAGGCCAAATAATCCCTATTTATGCAATCTCAAAGTGTAAGTCATTCATTGCGAGGAAACTTAGTGACTTCTCCTTACTTTTGTTTCTGTAGTTCTTGTACTGAGCCAGATCTCGGAGCAGATCCTCACTCATGCCCAGTGGGGCTCGGGTGCAGATCTCTCGTACTGCATTTAACCTGCAGAGTAAAAAAAAAAAGAACATCCCCACGAGCGGGATGTTGAGCTTGAAGCAAAATCACTTCTGACAGAGGTTATCCAACACAAGTGTGGTTTAAAAAAAGGAGAGGCTTAAACTGGGGATGTGGAATCCTTTGGCAGACAATTATGTTGGCATGGTTCTTCTGTAAATCCCTGGACGAAGGGATAGAAACACTCCTGATTGGAGGATCGATATCACCTTAAGCTTCTGTCTTGTCTACACTCCAGGTACAAGCAGCTAGCACTATCTTGAGTTCCTGTCAAGTTGCCAAACTCATGAATAACACTTAACCAAGGATCTGTAGAAACTACTACTGGTAGGTTTGGTACTCTTTAGGAATAGGTCATACATTGTGGTTCCATTATTCCATATTATTATGAGATATCATTATGTGAGTGGCTGTACAAAAATGGAATATACATGTACAGTACCACAAAAGTATTAGTTCTGTATTCATGCTCATACTGATTTAAAAAAAAACTCACCCAACTGTCATTACTTCATTTGAGTTTCTCTCAGTGATGAAATTGTTGGCTATCGTCATCAACATCTGTTGTAGAATCTGGATGTAAAACAAGATCACATGGAAAATGTGGTCATACATGTATATAGGGTTGTCACTTACTGAATTTGGGGCTGAATGTGCTGCTAGCTTTCATCAAAGCAATACTCTTGTGATGCAAGGTGTGTAACTGGCGAAATGCAGCAACTTCAACTAGTGACTGTTCATTGTGGTCATAAATACACACTTTCCACTGACTACACAACATGATTGATTGCATTCAGGTCCAAGACGAATAGCAGTTGCCGGCTATGCCATTGACTCTGACATGACTTACTGCACAAAAAGATATGGAGTTATCAACATGCACTGCAAATAGGATATTTGTCCTTGGTTGTGCATTAGGCCAACACACTGTGGACTATATATTTCAACCCACGAATGTGTTCAGCGATAAGACCATGTCAACACTAGTGACAAATTGATGGGGTTAATAACCTTTGTCTTTGGGTATACAGTATTAGTGATTTATATAAATATTACATGCAGAAAGTTTTACCTTATTTTGGCACGCTCACAAATAGAATAGGATGACTATAGAAAACACTGTAACAATGACAGATTTGGCCCTGGACTTTTTGTCAAAACTGCTGTAAGTTATATCTGGTTTGTCACATATAGCATGTTATCCTCTTAGACTAGTGAGCAAATTTTAAAATGTATACTGCAGATTTATTGAGCAGTTCTGAAATGTATCATTGACGCCATCCATATACCGTCATTGAGGCTCTGGAGCAAGTTAGCTTTGAACCTGGTGACACTACTTCTTCCTTCAAACTTTAACATTGGACAAACTGGCATCAAGGGGATTAACGTTTATGACGGCGACATTCAAGTCCCAAACTTTGGTGGCAGTAATTACCTGATGGCATCACCTAGGTGCCTGCTGAAGAAAACCTCCTGCTGATTTCCTAATGAAGGATGACAGGTGGAACCTGTTAGGCCTGCCCTCCTGGCCACCGTTAGCAACCAGGACATTCCTGTCAGGCCTAGGGAAATTAATGTTGTGTTTCTGGTTTCAGTCCTAAAAAAAATAGGGTCGGTAGGAAAGGGTTTCTTTTTTTAGGTTTCGGCTAGGATGATCCAACAAATGAGAAAGTTCAGCAAGACATTGGTACTGTCCACCTGTAATATTTCACCCAATTTACTGAAGGAATAATTGCTTCCAGAAATGCATCGAATGACATTTCAGACTTCAGAGGGCTTGAAATTCAGATCAAAAATTTTACAGCCAAAACATTTTTCCCAAGGCCTCAGAGCCTTGATGGCAGCAAGGACGTTATACGGTAATGTCCTTGATGGCAGTAATCACGTCATGGTACTATCACCATGGCTACCATTAATCAAATCTCCTGCTGATTTCCTGATAAGAAACAACAAGTCATTCCTGTTGGACGTACCCTCCTGGTCTCATGTTTTGAAGGCATGTTGCCTTGAAGGCAGTGACATCATGGAATCACAGTCAGAATCAAGATCAACAACCGGGATGTTCATCCTGATGGCACAAAGGACATTATAAAGTGTTTTTGAGATGAAACACCACTGGTGCCTTCCCACACATGGGAAGCAAGGCTGTTATAATGTCCTTAATAGCATGCTGGGATAGCCATGGGTACCATTAAGCAAACCTACCGCTGATTTCGTAATAGGTTCAGTTCAGCTCTAGCCTGGGTTCCATCCTGATTAGTTTACGTCCGCTCCCACAGTCGCGACTGTTCAGCTCCTATACCACACCAATTTAATCACTTGGTTGTCGGATTCATCTCCTTTTTGAATTATTTTTTTCTGATTTGACAAAAAAAGTATTTGGGTTCTGAATCAACTCCAAAATGCTCCTATTTTGACCCCAACAGTTGAGGAAAATCCTTCTCTTCCTAGTTGTTTTTTTTTTCACCTAACAACACAGTTAGGTGGAAAAGAAAATTGATTAAAAGTTCAAAATTCATTGTTTGAATTATAAACCAGCCTAGTGTGTTCATGACATCATGGCTCCTATAGTAGCATTTGGGGCTATTATAGAATGCCTAGACTGTTTTGTTTTTTGCCCAGTAGCTTCATGTTTTTTCTGAAAAAATCCAAGAACCAACAAATCAAATTGGTGTGGCCCTAATAAAGTAAAGACACCTGTTGTACTTGCCTTACTGATTGGCATTTATGACAGATTTCCCCAAATACTTGTAATGTCACTCTCCTGGATAAAAATGATTGATGACCATAAAGCAGGTATAGACACCATTGATAACTCAAAATCGTTTAGGGGCACACAAGAATGGTTGGAGTGGAGTTGGCCAAAATGCACATCAAATAAAATGTTACCTTCTACAAGCTAACTACATACTGTTACAAGATCTTTATGCAGAGAAGGACAACACTCACTAGTATCTTGACTTTAAGCAACATTGAAAAATACCAAATGAAAAATTCAGTTTAAGAAATATACTATCAGTCTTTTCAATGACCTAAAACTTTTAAAAGATCCAAAACTTGATATGAGAGGTTGCCCAGAATAGAGATATTTTACATGCATTTTGTAGTCATAGCAAGTAAGTAAATTTCCCTTGGGCATAATGCTAACTTAAAGATACCTTATACATTGTAGGTACAGCCAATACAGGGTTTTCATAGAAATAATAAGGACAGATTTGAATTCCATATAACTACAGGACCTGTCAACACATGTTTTATACTGAATTGTAGACCCCTTGGTTGAAATCATTGGAAATTCAAAGCATAAAGAAAACGTATTCATGTCCATATTTCATGCACTTTTCTACATCATTGCAAAAAGTAACCCGGGTACATTTTGTTACACAACTTGAAGATTATACTGGAAATATGAAAAATGCACCCACAATCGATCAATCTGTCCAAAATCCTATTTTATTTGATCTTCGTCAATAAGAACCAGGCTAAAACTTACCAGTTGCTGCTTTATCTTAATTGCATCAGCAGTTTTTTAAATAAATCAGATCCGATACCGACATTGAAAAATTGCTAGGCTAAGTAGCTCTATCTTCACGTAAACATCTCTTCAGTCGGAATTGCGTCCTTGATTTGCCATCAACATCCAGATATGTCCCTGAAGGGATGTTGATGGCGAGGTTTGGATTCAAGGTGCATCTTTAGAGGGAAGACGGAGAGCTCAGTTTTGAAAAGGGATATGTGACATGTATGTACCGGTGTGTATCTGCACAAAGGTGTCCAGAAATCTGAGTTGGTTATATCTTTAATGTTTTATTTCAACGTTTGCAGTGAAAATGTAGCACCAGCAGGGTTTGTGTATACGTTTAGCTTTCGAATGAATCATAGTGTAGGTAAGAAAGTTAACTTTTCTTCAGTGATACATGTATGCAAAGCTGCAAACGAAATCAAATATAACAATTATCATAAAAGAGAGATCATATAATGGCAACTGCACATCATACAAGGAAGCATTTGTTCATCTCATTATTCCATCAATGCTACAAGTGGGAAATCTAGCAAAAAAAGGTCTTACATAATACATCCCTTAACTCAGGGTAATTACTATTAGGGAAAATCCCCAGCAATAAAGTGGTGACCCTATGTCTGCTTCTGCAAACCTTTGGTCCATACTGAATCTCCAGGTATCCAATTTATGAATCTCCAATTTAACGATCATCTCTAAAATATCCATCCTTAACCTGGAATGCAATTTGTAAGTGTTCAAATGGTCTGCTATTTAATAATCTGAATGATTTTATCAACCATCCATGAAAGTTAGACATCCAGGTAATGAGATGCACAAGGAATTGTTACTCAACAACTGGATAAATTTGGAAAACTGTCAGACGTGCATCAAAATTCACAGTATGCATAACGTTCTTTCATCTGTTTCTAATCAATTTTCCTGTTAGCGTACAGGAGGAAATTGTGTTGCAAAAGTAATGTGTATCTCCTAATTGTGGTTAAACCACAGTTGCACATATTAATAAGATAATAGATAATACATTCCAGTCTAAATGGCAGTTGATCAGTTTCTTGAAGCTTGCTCATTAATCTACGGTATGCTTACTCTTGAATATTCTTATAGACAATGTTCAATATATTCTTGTAGAGAAACTAAGGCTTCTTGTCCTCTTGGCCTGTGAATTTTTAAAAAAATGATGCCAGTTGCAACCAACTTCTATGTCAGAGGCAGTGAAATGCTCATCCCAACAAAAAGTATAAAACACTATGTATGACTAATGTGTTTCTCATGCCCTCTAAAGTTATCAGAGAAGCCTAGCACAAACATTTTGTCTTCCTGATAAAATTTGTGTCAGAAAGAGAAAATCAGACTGCAATAGACTCTGTGCTTTTGAGTGCTTTCTGCATGTATCTGTTTGCTACAGACCGTCAGTTACTATGTTATCAAAAAGCATGCATGAGATATGTGAATCCTCACACATACAAAAAGCATTCATTTGACTTCTGAAAAAAAAAAAGATTTACAGTGATAAAATAATGCTTATCTCTTACAAAATGCCTTCTACCCTTATTCTAATTCCTGGCTTCTTTTCAAAAATGTATGATAAACCAGAAGGAAAATTAGTTCTTATGAAAAAGAGAGAGACTGAACCTGATACTGTCTGATAAACCATAGAACTGTTTAACATGTAAGACATGTTAGAGACTCACAAAGTTTACAGTCACTTTTGACACACTCTCTAGCAAAATATTCAGGTATCTATCTAGTATGCAGATTAGCTGGTATTTGTGGTGTCTTCCCGTCAAAAAACTTTCTTAACTAGTAATGGATGATTTTTCATTCACTACATAAAACAGATATGATACATGATGATAAACTACACTGTATTGGCATGTTCATCTATTCCCAAAATGTCACAGTTACTTCTCACAGTTATTTTTATGGTTGAATGCTTCCGTGACTTAAATTGTGTTCATGATTTAGTGCCCCTGTTAGCCTCCTTCATACATTTTCCTCACGTCATGAAGCTTGCCAAGATTGCTGTCATTTGTCTTGTTGGTTATCATTCATGACTTTTAGTCAACTGACTTGCCCGCTAACAGATTGGCTCAAAGTGCAGTGACTGCATAAATGGGTCTGAGGCAGACTTTGTGGTTCAAATTCTATGCATTTTTGTTCATACTAAGAGTTTGGGAGTGCATCCTGCTGTTACAAGTGCAATGAACTAAATACTGTACATTTTTTCATGCGACAATATGAAAGACATCTTTTTGGGGGATCAGATGAGTAGAACATGGTTTATTTCTAACATTTGCACTTGTTGGTAATAGGTTCAAATGTTTAACCATCTGGTGGATGTTATCAAAAGTAAAAAAAGACAAACTTACATCAGGAGGTATCTGGGTGTGGGAGGCCTGGGCAGCACAGAGTAGAATCCTGGTCACCTCTGCACAAGAAATAAAATGAAGAGTGCATTTTGTACATAGAGTAACAAAATCATATTTTTTAATGGTAGCCTAGTAGCAACCAAACAAGAAAGAAATGCAGACACGTTATTTTGAAAAACCTTATCGACACATAATTTCAGTACAAATAGCATCCATAGTTATAAACACAACTATAACTACAGCCACTACCTTCTCTAGCATTTATTACAAAAACAGCTACAAGAGAAGCGGTTTGTCAATTAACGATAAGCTAGAGAATTCACTGCAAACCTTGCTGATTACACTGCCAAGATTACAGGGATGAATTACAAATAATACTTCTGGCGTAATCATAATGGAGGAAGATCACATGTACGTACTGCAGATACTAAGTAATTACCAAATCTCTCAAGGGAAATAAATCAACGACAGGGCTAGGTTATGTGTCAAGATTAGGACTACACTAAAGTAGGTTCTGATTAAAAGTCCTTACTGTCAGGGATAAGATTAAAACTCGTTAATGAAAGTTAGTTTGAATCAAATGATTTCCACAGTAAGGTGTAAATTCAGGGATAGCAATGGCTGAGGCACGTATTTGTAGATTGAAGTAGTGAGAGCCAAGCCCCATTGTGGTTACACAATGTTCTGTAACAACTCGGGGCAAGCATTACAGAAACACATCTACATGTATTTTTTTTTAGAAACATAAACAGGGCTCCTGGAATCGAGGCTTGTGACCCCAACACCATAACCACTAGGCCAAAAGGTCCAGGACCCTTAAGACAGATTAGCTGATAGCACTGTTACACTACCCCCTCTTTTCTTTCTTTTAAGAATTTATCCTCACATCTGAAGCATACACACAGCAACACGAAACACACGAGGCAGGAGTAGAAAGTGGCCCCAGGAATTAAACCCGCAACTTCAAAGCCAATGCCCTAAACTAGACCAGGAAGTCTAGAACCTGTCAGACAAGTCATTGGGTAGCATTTGAAACTTCGCTGTTACAAGCACCCCACTGTTACAGTTATTCTGTAGTTACCAACCCTCTCTAGGGTCTCAGGATTAAGTACAAAGAAGTGTTTTTAAATGACCTTGATGCCTGCAAGGTTACAGGGTAAATGGGACAGATAGTAATGAGCAATGAGGCAAACTAATCACCATCAAGCATTACAAAACACCTGTCCAAAAGCAGGTCTTGCTGTGGCCATTAATAATAAAAGGGAAACCTGAGGAGAGGTTGCTGAAAACATGCTGAGTTGATATATTTACATGCATGGATAACAGTAGAGTTCTGTGACAAACAGACAAACAGACAGAATAAATTTCTTAGAGCATCCATAAATAAGCCCTGGGGTGTATTTTTGGTATACATTACATAGTCAAAAATACTCCAAAGTACATCTATAGGGCTTATGGAAAAGTCAATGCCCTGAATATGTGGGAATAATCAGTTTGTCATGATGAATTTGCATTCGCTTCAATTGTGTCTATCTAGATTTTTTTAGATCTTTTGTTATCTTTCAGTGGATAATGATTTAGTGTATTAGCTGTAGGTGCTCACTGTCTGCTAGTTGTTCAAGTCAAGATTGAATTGAATTGTCAATTTTTTATATACACCGGTACAGGATAAGAGCAACCATCACAAGTTCAGCACCAAGGACAGGCCCTCTTCCCAGACAAAAGGTGATTTCTCTGGCCCATATATGCTAAGCTTTCTAAATAGACTTTGAGAAGGATGGAGCACAAATTCGCACGAGGAGATTAACTTGACTTGCAGTCTATGCTTCCCTTGAATTCTTCCAGGAATATCTTCTTGATATATTTTGTCCTCCCCAATGATCTCAATGAAAAGTGGCTTGCAGGCCAATTTGAGCTTTCTCATGAATAAAGAATAGTTCAAACAAATAGACCAATATCCATGCAATATGCATGATTTAACAACTTAGAAACTCTATTGGGTAATTTTTCATTGCCATTGCTAAAAATAATTAATTACAGAACAGGCACCACTGTTACTTGCCAAGTTGCAAGTTCCTCCAGGAATAATTTCAAAGCTAGAAAAGTTCAGTGACACCAATTGGATCATTATTCTGCCAGTTGCAGTCATCCAGAAACTAGGTACTGAGCCATAATCTGATGGGTATTTGCAGCGTCCTAACTTCCTAGCTTAACCTTTCAAACCAAATCCTGTGAGGTCAACGACCAATCAGAGACCTGCGTCAGTGCTGCTCATTTCAGTTACACAGAGTCGCCTAGATTTCCCTTGGTGCCCAAAGGAAGCACTTAGGTCCAACCCTGGTGGAATCTGCTATGAACTCAATGTTTAAGCTGCAATAAGCTGGCATTATTCACACCCTTTTGTCATTAGAAGCAGCCAACATTCCAAGAGCTAACACTTGCAGTGGTGATGAGTTTTAGGGTTGATCATTCTTGAGTGGAACAAGTTGGTAGGTTGGAGAGTTTAAGTGCTTAAGTACAAACCTAAGGTGGGCCTAAGTTGGGGTGTACAGAAGTACCATGCAATCAACACACGAAAGGAAGAGGTATCCTGGTAAAAAAGGCCTCACAAAAAAATTGAAATGATTTGACAAATTTTGTTCCCTGTGAAAATGGGGAAAGAGACAAATCCATAATCATTTCTATTATGATATGTTCTATGTTAAGTCTTTTGTGTACACTACAGTCAATCAATATCCACAGGATGTATATCCGGCATGTTCTGTTCTTGGCAAAATAAAATCCCTACCAGTATCCCTGGAGCTTGATATGCAAAAAGCTGTTAACTCAGCAGATTTACAATGATGTCCTCAGGGGTTTCAGTAAAACTATGGCTTAATAAACTTCTGCTGCATAAATAACTGGTAGCAAAACTACAGGGATCCTTGGGAGACTACAAGTCTAAGTCCTGACTTAAGCAGCCCAAGGGACACCTTATTTTGTTATCTGATACATTAAACTCCACTGATGACATGCTACTTATTAGAATGTTGTTATAACTCTACCAACTTTCTAAGCCTTTATAATAACTTAACTGTTGTCCCTGATTATTAAACAGGATGTACAAAAGTTTCCACCATATTTTGGACCCAGAAGTGTGGTAATATCTGCACTAGTATTCTATCCAGATGTATGATCAGTCTAGTTAGATAGAATTTCCAATTACCCACATTAATAAATTCTCTCTCACAGTGTTTTTTTCTAAACTGGTAAACAGTTTTATCTGCTTAGGTCTCATGTTTCAGACTTAGTGTCTACATAAC